TGCAAAGTGCACCATTGGGGTATCAGCAGGGAAGTTTCTAGGATTCATAATCAACAACAGAGGAATCGAGGCTAACCTAGAAAAGGTTAAGGCAGTTCTGGATATGCGACCACCGTCCAACATTAGGGAGATCCAATGCCTGACAGGAAGGATAGCAGTCTTGAGTCGTTTCGTATCCAAATCAAGTGACAAGTGCTAACCTTTCTTTCAGGTCTTGAAAAAGGCATTTCAGTGGGACACCCGGTGTGAGGAAGCGTTCAAAGCACTGAAGGAGTACCTAAGCTCTCCCCCTGTCCTGGTAAACCCCTTAGAAGGGGAAGTGCTTACTCTTTATTTAGCTGTCTTAAATTTCTCAACCAACGCAACACTAGTTAGGGAGTGAGACAAAGCTCAGCAACCAGTTTACTATTATAGCAGAGCTTTGAGGAGGGTAGATGAGAGATATGCAAAGATGAAAAGGCTAGTTTTGGCTCTGGTGACTACGACTAGGAGACTTAGACCATATTTTTAGGCTCATACTATCGAGGTTCCAACAGATCAACCAATGAAGCAAGTGCTACATAAACCAGACTCTTTAGGAAAGCTAGTTAAGTGGGCAATAGAGCTCAGCGAATTTGATATTAGGTATAAGTCAAGGACTGCAATCAAAAGGCAAATCTTGGCAGATTTCATCGCAGAATTTATAGCAGCAACACCCACGAAAGCTACACTACTAATACCTGACCTTCCCATATGAAAACTTTCGGTAGATGGGGCTGCCAATGCCCAAGGAAGCGGCGTAGGATTGATCCTAAACTCTCTAGATGGAATAAACATAAAATACACCCTCAGGTTTGGATTTAAGGCTTCAAACAATGAGGCAGAATATGAAGTTGTCATTGCTGGCCTCAACCTTGCTCATTCAATGGAGGCAGTGCAGCTAGAGATCAGCAGCGATTCCTAATTTTTCGTGAAACAGGTAGAGGAGTCATATGAGGCTAAGGGTAAGAAAATGGTTCTCTATCTCAGAAAGGTACAGGAATTGATCAAGAAGTTTGTGCAAGTTAAGTTCAAGCATGTTTCTAGAGTCGAAAATTCGAGAGTAGACGCCTTGACAAGGCTGGCAATAGTTTCGCAGGAGAATTTGGATAGGTTAATTTCAGTGGAGCATTTAGCAGAACCATCTGTATACATTGAAGATGAAGAAGTTCTGCCTATACAAGCACCACCGAGCTAGATGGACCCCCATCAGAGTGTATCTTCAAAATGGGACTTTGCCGGAAGATTCCAAAAAAGCTGCGAAACTAAGGGTCAGGTCAGCCAGATTTTTTATTTTGCAGGGAAACCTGTACAAATGGGAATTTTTGACACCTCTACTCAAATGTGTGGGAGATGAAGATGTTAATTCCATACTTAGAGAGATTTATGAATGAGTCTGCGGCAATCACATCGGAGCTCGAGCCCTAACAGGAAAAGCATTGAGACAGGGGTACTACTGGCCCACTATGCTCAAAGATGTAGTGATTAACCATCAAAATTACTATTTTATTATATTTAATGATTGGTTAATTTCATATTATTTGTGATTAAATGTGTTGAATTCCTTGATTTTTTAGTTTGATACTTTTTCTAGTTGTTTGGTTTATTTTGTAGGTAAATTAGTTGATTTAAAGTAAAAATGGATAATGCAAGTGAATCAATCACTAGAGGAAGAATCGCATTTGATAAGGATTAAAGAGTCAATATTGAGATAGGAAGACTTAAAGATATGACAACAATTTAATCCTTCTAAGAGTCCAAGATGGAACAAAACTCATTTAAAGTTTGATTAGGAAAGTATCTTAAAAGAATAAGGATTTGACACGTCTTCAGTATTTTGGTCATAAATTTTGACTCTGATATCCGATTTACTTGATTTTTGGGGATTGAAAAAAATACTCCAAGGGCTACAAAAGTGTATTTCACAAAAATTTCGTGAATCATCCTCTAAATATGTGATATCCAAGCTCAAAGTCTAGACAGATTTTGTACTCGTTCCCCAAAGATTTTATGCACGGGATTTAACCTTATAAAACTTCTCTGTAGAAAGGAATTCCTTTCAAGACAACCTTATATCTTCTATCTATACTTAGGATTTATTTTTAATATAAATAAGGGTTCTCATCTAAGATTTATTTGATGATTCTTTTTCCATCTTTTCTTTTCTAGTTTTAGTTTGTCATGTCTGGCTAGAAGGCTAAGCTAGGGTTAGGGGAGAACCTTTTAATGAAGTACGGTAATATTATTGATTCTGAGTTTAATGATTTATGATATTTTGTTAATTTAACTTCTGATCTTATAGCAAAATTTTTGCTCTGTAAAAATTCTTGAGTTGTTGTGTCATGTACATCGATTGCTTGAATTTTCTTGTAAATAAATAACTGGTTATTCCATGCTTGATGTAATTATCATCATTTCATAAAATAATATAATTGGATGATTATTCAGGTTCCTAAATAATCTTTTGATTATAACTTTTGGTTTTCTTACTTGATTTGCTATTTGAATCTACCGACATCTGATTCTTGTTCCAAGTTAAGTTTTGAGTCATTAATCATTATTTTATGGAACTGAAAGGGAGTACTTGATGCTCTAGTATTTTTATTACTGTTTTAATTATTTAAATCAATTTTCTCCACTCAACAACTCTCTAAACAAATCATTTATTTTTTTTAAGTTTGATTTGGTATTTGTGTGATTACTTTCTTGTTACAATTCTTTGAGGGTTCGATCTCGATTTTTCGAGAAATATATTACTTCGCTCAACTTGCGCTTGGATTTACAATATTAAAAGTGAAGCAAGTTTTTGGCGCCGTTGCCGGGAAGTTGAAAGACAATGAGCCACCATCACATCTAGTGAGGTTTTTGGTATTTGCGATTCGTTGGAGATCCAGTAACTTCGTTCTATTTTTTAATTATTTATTTATTTTATTGAAATTTATTTTCTTTTTGTTATTTAAGTTATTTTTCTGTTTTATTTATTTATTTATTTTTATTTGTTGTATGAGTTCTTGGCATTGTGATTTGTGTGGTCGTTTGATAAGAGAAGATTTAGACACTGTTTGGAAATTTATTTGATTCATCTGATTCAAATTATACTTTTCATACAACGGTTGCTGATCCTAATGATAATAGACGAAATAATTTACCTGAACATGAGGATCATATTGATAGAGTAAGTAATCATGATGAGAAGAATGTGAATAATTTAAATGTTAATCAGGGTAGGACTTTGTGTGAATATTTACAGTCTGCACGCCACACTACACCCTCATGCATTATCTTTCTATTAAATGCCACAAATTTTATTTTCAAACCTGGCATGATTACATTACTCCCAAAATTTCTTGGCCTAGATTCAGAAAATTCATATATACACATTAGAGAATTTGAGGATGTATGTGCTACGTTCCATGATCAGAATGTCTCAGTGAATACAATCAGATTAAAGTTGTTTCTTTTTTCATTAAAAAAAAAAAAGCTAAGACTTGGTTATATTCACTTAGATCTAGGACCATAGGTATATATGGCCTGAGATGCAAAAATAATTTTTGAAAAAGTTTTTTTTCACACATCGCACAAACTCTTTAAAAAGGCAAATAATGAATTTTTCTCAAAAAAAGACTGAAAATTTTTATCAAAGTTGGGAAAGATTTAAAGACCTTCTTGCATCGTGTCCACATCACGATTATGAGAGCTGGCGCATGATAAGTTTCTTTTATGAGGGTTTGAGCCCACAGTTGCGTCAATTTGTTGAGATGATTTGTAATGGTGATTTCATGAATAAGGAACCAAACGAGGCCTTTGACTACTTAGATCAGTTAGCTGAAAATGTATAATCTTCTTGGGATACCACATCCCAAGAACCTCCTAAAGGTAAAACTGCACAATCTTCATCATCTAGTGGGGGTAAATACCAGCTGAGGGGAGAAGATGACCTAGGAGCTAGAATTGTCACCTTAGCTAAGAGGGTAGAAACTACAATAAACAACAGAAAAATTTTAACAGACAAACTACTCAGGCTATTGAAGATATTAGGAGTGCAATCACTAAGTTAACTATTGACCCTTGTCATCAAGAAAAAGGTAAGTTCCCAGCACAATCACAACCAAATCCGCAGGATCAATTTTTTGTGAATGAAACTGACACTTCTAATATTGTGCATGAGCAGGTAAAGTCTATTACCACACTCCGTAGTGAGAAAGAAATTGATAAAAATATTCTTTCTAAAATTCAAGAATCTGAAAAGATTTCAAAACCTACAGAGAGTGGTGATAAAATTAATCACTCTGAAATCAATAAGCCTAAGAAGTATGTCATACCTGTACCATTTCTATAGAGATTGCTTACTTCTACCAAGCCTTATATGCATAATGATATGTTAGAGATTTTTAAGCAAGTGAAAATTAATATTTCCTTGTTAGATGTCATTAAACAAATACCTTCTTATGCAAAATTTTTGAAAGAATTATGTACTGTTAAAAGGAAATTAAATGTGTAAAAGAAGACATTTTTGACTGAGCAGGTGTCTTCCATCATACAACATAGGACTCCACCAAAATATAAAGACCTAGGTTACCCCACTATTTCTTGTGTTATAGGTAACCACAAAATTGAACAGGCTTTATTGGATTTAGGAGCTAGTGTGAACTTGCTCCCTTATTCAGTATATGAACAATTAGGGTTAGGAGAGTTAAAACCCACTTCGGTTACACTTCAATTAGCTGACCGATTAGTAAAAATACCGAGGGCTATGATGGAGGATGTTTTAGTACAGGTTGATAAGTTTTATTTTCTGGTAGATTTTATAATTTTAGATACTTAACCTGTATTAAATGCTAATGCGTAAATTCCTATTATTTTAGGCAGACCATTCCTAGCAACTTTAAATGCTTTAATTAATTGTAGGAATGGTGTGATGAATTTAACTTTTGGGAATATGACATTAAAGCTCAATATTTTTAATGTGTGCAAACAACCAGGGAATGTTGATGAGGATGTACATGAGATTAATATGATTGAATCTCTTGTTCCAAGTAGAGTATATGATTCTTCTCTATTTGATCCACTTGAGGCATGCTTGCTGGAACATTCTTCTTTGTTAGAGATAAATGAGAATAATTCTGAAATTTCTGTTTTGACTGAGTTGTTGAATTCCTCACAGGTACTTGAAATGAGAGAGTTGAAAGAGAAATTTGAGGAGCTTCCACCAAGAATCAATCCACCAATCCCATCTAGTGATAAAACTCCCACGTTGGATTTGAAGCAATTACGGGTAGAATTAAAGTATGCATTCTTGAAAAATGATGAAACATATCCAGTAATAATTTTTTCTCAATTAAATTCAGCACAGGAAGGTATGCTAATACAACTTCTTAGAGAGCATAAAAAAGCAATTGGTTGGACTTTAGCCGATATAAAAGGAATTAATCCATTGGTTTGCACTCATAAGATTTATTTGGAGGATAATGCTAAAACATTCAGGGAGATGCAACGAAGACTAAATCCACATATGAAAGAGGTTGTAAGGAATGAGGTGTTGAAATTGTTAGATGTAGGAATTATTTACTTTATTGCAGACAGTAAGTGGGTAAGTGCTACACAGGTAGTCCCCAAGAAATCTGGAGTTACTGCAGTTGCTAATGAAAATAATGAACTTGTACCAACTAGGACAGTAACTGGTTGGAGGATGTGCATTGACTACAGAAAATTAAATTTTGTGACTAGGAAAAATCACTTTCCTTTACCTTTTATGGATCAAATTTTAGAAAGGGTAGCATCACATATGTACTATTGTTTTTTAGATGGTTATTCGGGATATAACCAAATTGAATTGCCTTAGAAGACCACATTTACTTGTCCTTATTGGTACTTTTGCATATCAAAGGATGCCTTTTGAACTTTGCAATGCACCTGCGACCTTTCAAAGGTGCATGCTAAGTATTTTTAGTGATATGGTTGAACGTTGTCTTGAAGTTTTTATGGATGATTTTACTGTTTTTGGTAATTCCTATAATGACTGTTTGTTAAATCTTGAGAAAGTGCTTATACGATGTGAAGAAAAAAATCTTGTGCTTAATTGGGAAAAATGTCACTTCATGGTTAGAAAGGGAATTGTTCTCGGTCACATTGTCTCTTCTAAGGGAATTCAGGTAGATAGAGCTAAAATTGAATTAATTGCTAATTTACCTACCCCTAAAATCCTGAAGGATGTTAGATCTTTCTTGGGTTATGTTGGTTTCTATAGGAGATTTATAAAAGATTTTAGTTCTATATCTAGACCACTTTGTTATCTCCTAAGAAAAGACACACCTTTTGAGTAGGATAAGTCATGCCAAAAGGCTTTTGATAAGCTGAAGGGCATGCTCATCACTGCTCCAATTATGCAACCTCCAAATTGGAGCCTTACCTTTGAAATTATGTGTGATGCTAGTGATTATGTTGTAAGGGAAGTTTTAGGGCAGAGAAATGAGAAAAAGTCACATGTTATTTACTATGCTAGTAGAACTTTAAATAATGCACATATAAACTATTCTACTACAAACAAAAAATTACTAGCAGTAATATTTGCCTTAGACAAGTTTAGGTCATATTTAATAGGATCCCCTATTGTTATTTTCACAGATCATGCAGCTTTTAAATATTTTATTAACTAAAAAAGATGTTAAACCAAGACTGCTTAGGTGGATCCTTTTACTCTAAGAATTTCACATAATAATCAAAGATAAAAAAAAGAGTATAAAATGTAGTTGCAGACCACTTGTTTAGAAGATTCTATTGTAAATAAATTATTACAAACAATTCAATACTTTTGTTTTTATCATGGCGCCAAAGGTACTCCATCAAATATCATATTTGGCTGTCGTAGAAAATAGAAGATATATTTATGACGGCAACGATGCCGCCACCAAAAAAAAAATTAATTATTATGGACCATTGGTAACCAATGTTATATACCCTGTGCATATATACACTCCATACAACTTCTTTTTTTTTTTCAAGAAAACAAAACTTTCACAATGGAAGGAGTACCATTAGAACAAATTGGTATCCAAACAACTACCCAATTTAATATATAGATAAACACAAAAGTAAATATAATTAACATTTCCAAAAATATAGCAATATTTTCATATCCAAAAAAAACAATCTCATGAGTTAAATAAAATGTAAAATATGCACTTTTATAAAACATAACGATCTATGAGTACAAAAAATTAATGCAAAAAATTGAACATCCTTCTTGAACCATCTACTCTCTCAGTGACATATGAAAAAAATATAAAGTTATTGTTACTATATTGAAATAATATTTATATACATATATATAATAAAGAACTAAAAGAAGTTAGAATATATATCAACAGAAGGCAACGCAATATTTCTCTGAACGGCTTGTCCAATTATGTAAATGATATATAAACGAGTCATATCGTATATATTTCTTCTAATTTGTTTTACCAATACCTGATTCATTTATAATCGTATCGTGACGGGTCCACTCTTTTATTAAACAGGTAGTTTAAGGAAGACTCAAACCCACTAATTTTATGTCGTGTTAACGGATCGTGTCATATTTTGACACCCCTAGTTTTGATATAAAAACTTGACTTTGTAGAGTCTAATTATTTTTTCTTTGAACTAGAAATTGTCTTTTGATGTTAAACTACATAATTTTATAAAATATTACCTGTAAAATAAAAAATAGTTATGGTCAATACAAATTTTTTTTAGACTTTTTCTTCCTTAAAATATAAACTATTTTTAATCTAAAACAACATTTTAATGTTTTATGAAATATTATATACGACGGGAAAAGTAACTACCACAAATATAAAAAAAAAATTTGAATTTATAAAATATTATTTGAGACAGGAAAAACAACAGTCTCAAATATAAAAATTTCTTTTGAGTTTATGACACTATTTATGGTAGAAAAAATAGTTGCCACAAATATTAACACAAACACACTTTTTTGTAACGGCAAACACAGCCGCCACAAAAAATTGTCTCAAATACGTCTTTTGTGACGACGAACATAGCCGCCGTAAAAACATTGTCTCAAAAGGCCCTTGTAGTGACATAAAATTTAATTTAATCGATTAATATAGTTTATAGGTGATTATATATCTATATAATAAAATATGAGTGTGTTTGAATTTTGTCCTAGTCATATTTTTTCTCTTAAAATCATCTCCAATCACTTACCTCACTCATCATCCCTTTGTCAGACTCAAACGTCAAATCACATCACTTATTTCTATCATATATTTAATCATTTATATATTTATTCCTTAAAAATATTACATCACTCATTTCTATTATATATTTAATCATTTAATATTAATTAATTGGTAGTTAATATATTTTTTAAAAAATTAATATAATGGGATTGATTTTTTGGACGCTCGAATTTTATATTTTATCGTGCCTTCAGGCACGGGTTATGACTAGTATTCTAATATGGTGTGTAACTATTAGTACAAAAGACACGACACCCTGTGGGCTAGACTAGGGCAGTTCTTACACATTAATGAAACTTATCCTCTTGTTTTTCAAAATAAGAATAAGAGCGTATAATGATACGAAAAGGGATAAAGAGATCAAATTGTTGATTTGCGTATAAATATCATTTTAAAATCCTATCCAAAACAGTTAATTCACAAAAAATATAAGTTTTAAAGGCTTCAATTAATCTGTTAATTCACAAAGAATACCAGAATAATTGCAAATAAAAGAAAAGCCCTCTCAATTATATTAGTCAAAAAATTGCTTAGCCCTAACACTTACAAGGGTATAAATAGTGCTAAAACCCTAAAACTAATTAGCAAATAACCAAACGTGACCTAATTTTCGTCAATGTAATCATCAATAATTTGAGGGCTCAAAGTGAAATTTACCCTATTTCTCCCTAAGGGAGAGAATAACATATTTTCGAACTTCTGTAGTCGGTCCCAACAAGTCTGGTAGCCGAGTCAGACCACAACAGCTAGCAACTGCAAACAAAGCTCTTGTTAGTGTTGAAAACAAAATTGCAGATTAGTCAATATGATTGAATCAGATTATTGTTGAGCCCATTGATTCTTCCCATCCTATTGATCATTCATAATTAACTTGATAATTTGAAGTATTGAATTCTCTGAATTTCTGAGTCACCAGAACACTCTTTTCGTAAGTTAAGATTATCAATATTTGAACCTTTTTCACATCACATAAGCGAAACAAGGTTGCCCCTTTTTTAATCGTTTTGATTGATTTGTTATTTTCATTTATCATATGTTTTGATTTCACATTGTATCCAATAAGTACAGGTGCTACTAATCTTTATTGTAAAGAGACAATAATGAAATATATTTCCTAGATTTTTTTTGTCTAAACCGTAGGTTTTTACCACTAATCTAGGTTATACTTATACCTTTGTGTTCTCTTTGTTATTTCATTTTGTAATTCCGGATAAAAAAATGGTATCTTTGATATTTGTATTAATTGTTCTAGCATGCTTTTGCATTTTCATTATAACATGATGATCGGATGATGTGTAGAGATTTGCGATAGTGAGATCCCCTTTGACTTCGAAAGAGATGAAATGAGCAAAAATAAAAAAAATATATTATTATTTCTCAATAAAAATCTCCAAGTGATAGTATAGTTTATTCCAATATTAATCAAAGGAGAATGCTCATGTCATTTCTATTAAAATAATTCTAGACTGACAATAAAATGAGACAAAAAATAAAAATTAAATGATATGTCACTGAAATAATAATATTTTAGTCTCACTTTTAATTCAAGATTCACTTACCATTTAGTTGTCACACTTCTTTATTTGGTGATGTATAATGACGGTGATCGGAGATTTATGTAAACATTAGCGTTCCATATCATGGTAGAAGGCACCTTCTACCATTGCACTTGTTCAATTTTATTCATCATTCATAGAATTGCACTTAAAGAAACTCTACAAAATAAGTAATGCTACAAAAAAGAATTGCACTTAAGCCCTATACCTTTCTCAACTCTACAAAATAAGTAATACTACATAATATGTTATATTGGGAGGGTGAACTCAATGTGAATCTTCTCTTACGATTATAAATGTGAACTAATAGACACTTTATCTAGAGGGAGGGGTGAATAATTTTTTTAGTTTAACGCTCAATTGAT